TTCTTCCTGTTTACCTTTTATTGGTACTAAAATATTCTTCAGATTATGACAAATAATGAAACCAGTGGTACAGTTTATTTCATAGAAAGTCTTATTTAACTGTGGCACAGGTACATTAAAAACATATAGCTTGGGGATCCCTGGGTGGCTCAGTGGTTTGGCACCTGCCTTTGGGCCAGGGTGCGATCCTGGAGTCCCGGGATCGAGTGCCGCATCGGGCTCCCGGCATGGAGCCTGCTTCTCCCTCTGCCTGTGTCTCTGCCTCTCTCTCTCTCTCTCTGTGTCTATAATCAATCAATCAATCAATCTTAAAAAAATATAGCTTTTCTCTATTTTTTTAAAATTTTTATTTATTTATGAGAGTCACGGAGAGAGAGAGAGGCAGAGACACAGGCAGAGGGAGAAGCAGGCTCCATGCACTGGGAGCATGATGTGGGACTCGATCCCGGGTCTCCAGGATCGCGCCCTGGACCAAAGACAGGCGCCAAACCGCTGCGCCACCCAGGGATCCCTATAGCTTTTCTCTAAATCCTGCTCTATATCAGAGGGGCGCCTGGGTGGCACAGTTGGTTAAGTGTCTGACTCTCAATTTCAACTTAGGTCATGATCACAGGGTTGTGGGATTCAGCCCTGTGTAAGGCTCCTTGAATAGCACAGAATCTACTTGTTCCTCTCCCTCTATTTCTCCTTACTGCTCACGCTCTCTCAAATAAAGAAAATCTTAAAAAAAAATCCTGCTTTTATATTAGAAATGGAAGTTTAAATATTAGAGTGATTTATATAAAATATAATTTAATAACTAGTTATAAGTCTTTGGCCAGGAGGTATTACAGAATATAGCTTTTAGATTTTTAAACAGTCCCTCTTGACCATATCAAGTTGGGAGTTTCAAGGAATGTTAGAAATGGGTTATCAGTAGATGGCAGTCTTTCTCTAGTTTAAGTCTTACATTCCACATTGGGGGTGGTGGTGGTCGTGGTAGGGAAGCTATTCTTTGTTCAAGTGCAATGTTGACAACGAATATTAGGTTAGCTTCTGTAGGTCTATAACCTTTTCAGAACTTAAGACTTGTTTATTTTTATTTTTAAGATTCTGTATCTGATAGATATATACACTTGAAATGCTGGTAGAAATTGAGCTGTTAAGTAGTGATCTATAATTGCCTTTTTCTGTACTGGGCAATTGAAAAAAAAAACTTTTAAATCAGTGATTTTTAACCTCTTTGATAACCAGATGGGAACTATGGATCATTTTCCCTTAAAATTATATATATGTGCTTCTCCTTATACATACATTAAATCTGGAAGTTGTGGATTTCTTGATTGGTACCCATGTAACACAAAGTTTCTTAAACATAGTTCAATACCCTTGTTTTAAATATGTGGGTTTTACATTTATTTTAACTTTTTAAACTCTCAAGATACTCAGGAGATCTGCTATAAACCTTTGATGTTATCCAACATTATTATGATTAAAGAGAATAGTAGAATCATAAATGCCCTAAGATAGGAGAAATAGGTAGGGGCTAGTGATAAAGATGTAGGAAATTCTATAAGTTGTTTTGAACTAATACCTGTTAACACTCTTCTGAAAAATGTATGATCTATACAGTTTATTGACTTAATTTGAAAGTGGAAGTTAATTGTAGAAAGTTAGAGGAAAGCTGATACTTAAGAGAATTTGTAACTGATTGCTTCCTATTTTCTAAATGAGAAAGCTAGGGGTCAGAGAGATTAACTGAGTTAGCCAAAGATTCATAGCTGGTTAGTTGCATTGCTACAACCAAGGCTATACAGTCAGGCAGCTAAAATTCACCTTTCCTTTCTTTGATTTATATTTTTTTTATAGGAAGTTCAGGGAACAATGGAGCTAGTGAGGCGTAGTTAACATGTTATGACTTTCTTAATTTGGGGACTTTCTTTTTTTTTGAGTTGTCTTTTGTGATATTAATATAGATCTTTGGAAGGGAAAAATGAAAAGAAGTTCTACAGAGTAGAAGGAAGTAGATTTGCTACTTAGAAGTATGACTAGGTCAAGATATAACTGAATTTGGAACCAAAGAGTTGTCTGATACTGAATACTATCTGCTCATGTCATTTAGATTGATAAATTTTCATTGGTTATTACTTTTCTATTAGTGGGAAGGAATATTAGTATCTTCACAGAGAAATCTTTCTTTTTCTTCTCTTTGGAAGGGGATATTTATGCTTATTTGAAGTTAGTTGAAATGTCAATGGTAGATTTTGTCTTCTATCTATATTTCAAATAGCTCCTTCAGGCAATTGGTTATTCTATAGTGTGTCTTAATTGTCAGAACGAGAATTGTTTATAATTTATTTGAAGATCTCATTAGTTCAAAGGAAGGGAAATGAATCTAGATTCTGGTGGGTTTTCTGAAATAAGTGTTTAGAATTTTTACTGGAAGCCAAACTTTTGTATGCATTGTCTGAAGTTACTGCTGAGTTTTGGGCAATGGAATTGATCTGCTGAGAAGAGTATGTAAGATCAGGGTCATGATCTGGCACCTACTAATGATTCTAGAACCATAAAGTGTTGGTAATGAACAAATGTATATTTGTTTAACAAATATCAGATGTCAAAGAGGTTTTAGAGATATTAGTCATTCCTTTAGTCAACAAATATTTACTCATTGCCTACTACCTGTCTGGCACTATTGTAGAGGTACAGTGGAGAATATGGCAGACAGAATTCTTGCCCTGGGGTTTATCATTTAATTGGGATGTGTTAGGGAGAGAGATAGACAACAAACCATGGATGATAAGAATGAGAAAATTGTTTGAAGATATAGAGGATGAGCCATTACTAGCATAAGAATAACAAAAATACAATTCTTGAGGAAAGAAGAAGCTTGAAAAAAAAAAGCCATTGTAGCTAGAACATAGGGGCTAGAAGGTGGCTAGGGGTGGGAAGCTGAGAAAAATGAGGGTGGGGAGATAATCAGAGGCTAGATTGTATAGGGTTTTCTAGGCCATGGTAATGGCTTTAGATTTTTATTCCTTTGGTAACGAGAAGCCATTAGAAAGATTTAAGCAGGGCAGCCCCGGTGGTGCAGCGGTTTAGTGCTGCCTGCAGCCTGGGGTGTGATCCTGGAGACCCTGGATCAAGTCCCACGTTAGGCTTCCTGTATGGAGCCTGCTTCTCCCTCTGCCTGTGTCTCTGCCCCTCTCTCTCTGTTTCTATGAATAAATAAAAGCTTAAAAAAACAGATTTAAGCAGAGGGATAACATCTCAATTATTGCTTTATAAAGATCATTTTAACTGCTGTGTGGAGGGTGTCTATATGGAGATGGAGAGATTGGGAGATGCAAACTTTTGGGAGTCCATTACCAGTGATACAGATTTGGATGAGGGTTTTAGTGGAAATGGAAATGCAGTCCACTGTTAAGATATGTTTTGGAGGTTGAGTTGTCAGGATCTATTAATCAATTGGATAGGGTATGGGATGGAAAAATGTGGATTAGGAGTAATTCCTGCATTTGGATTTTTGACTTGGGCAACTGGAGAGTGCCATTAGTTGTGATGAAGTGAGTGAGTAGTGTGGAAATTTTGGGGAGGATCATGTCTGAGAGTGGAGATAGTTTGGTGATAGATGATTTTTAAATTTGAGATGGCTTTTAAAAATCCAGTTCTAATTGTTAAATGGCAGTTGGATATTTGAGTCTAGTGCTCAGTGAAATGCTCTGAATTACAGGTGTAGATTAGGAAGTCATTATTATGTACATGATATTTTAAAGCCTTGGCATTAGATGACATTGCTTGGTAAGAGAGCATAGTTAGAAAAGATAAGTTGTTTTAGGATTATTTAGAAAATATGAGGAGGATGAGGAGGAGGAGCCAAGAAAGGAGATTGAGAATCCTTGTCTATGAAAGGATAAAAACAACACTATTGTGGTATAATTGAATTATAGAGAAAAGATTGTTTCAAGAAGGAATGTGTATCATATTACAACAAATGCTGCTATTAGGTGGAGCAAGATGAATGCTAACTATTGGAAGGTGGGGAAGGGACAAGGAGTTTTGCTGGGAGGGGAGCAGAGAAATAAGATGATAGCTAGAGGGAAATGTGTAGGTAAGGACAGTTTCTTAAAGTCATGTTTATATGCCCATAAGGAGATTGAGCAGAGTGGGGAAATGTATGCTGTAGGGCATGGATAAAAGGGAGTAATTGAAGGAGTATAAAGTTCGTGAGAGACAACAAGAGAGATTGACATATAAGCGCTTGGGACATTTTTTCCATTGTTATAGGAGGGTGGACAGAGTAGAAGTTATAGAGTTAAGAAAGTTGGTTGACTGTAGTGGGAGAAGAAATATTTCTCTTTTTCCTGTGAAATGTGTAGTCAGGTCAGCAGCTGAGAGTGAGGGGATAGATATTGGAGGAAAGGACAAAGGAACATTCTCACAAATAGTTATTTTGGAGAATACAAAGTGATTTTGTGGTGGTGGTGGTAGGGGGTATGGTTTTAGTAGTATTATCTAGCAATATTTATTAAGTGTCCAATTTAGATTTGTGGTTATATAGCTAAACTGAGTCAACCCAGCACAGCTGTAGTTTTCTCCAGCAACATCAACTTTTTGGGTACAGTTATGGAGTGATTGGATAGTTGACTTTATCCAAAATTGAGTTTTTCCAGGTAAGTTTCTGAAAGAAAGTTGCAAATGAGTTATAATTCAGTCCTTTCATTTTATGACTATAATTCTGTGATGAATTATATCACATATATATGTGTCTCATATTATATCATATATGTATGAATATCGAATATTTAAATATTTTTGAATGAATAGAAAGCAAAATTACTGTTTTCCTAAAAAAAAAAAGACTCACCTAGAATTGGGGCAATATTAATATAATTGGATTTCTCTATGGTTAATGTACCTTCAGTATGAAGTTTTCAAGTAAATTCGCTTCTGGGCTTATAATTCTGTTTCTCTTTCTTAGAAGTAAATGTCGTGTAATCATCATACCATTTTTTTTAAAGGTCTGTCTATGATGGTGAGGAACATGGACGTTTCATGGAGAAGCTTGAAACTCGCATCCGCAATCATGACCGAGAAATTGAGAAGATGTGCAACTTTCATTACCAGGGCTTTGTGGATTCTATAACTGAACTGCTGAAAGTGAGAGGGGAAGCTCAGAAACTCAAAGTAAGGAGGCTCTAGGAGGGACTTGTTGCTCCATCCTGTGCTGGGATTTTGATTAGCATTAAAGGAGTAGGGAATATACTGCAGGTTACATGTTTGTAGCAGAGATACTAAGAAAGGAATTTTTACTGAAACATAGATAATTAGGATGAATTTTAGCTAAAAAAGAATACTCTTCTAAGTTAAATTTTATTTTGGATGACTACACTTGGATGAGAAACAACAACAGAATCAGTAACTGTTTCTTTAAATAGAAACCCAGTTGATTCTTCATATCATCTGTCTACGTGCTTGTTAGATAAAAGTTTCACTATAGGATGACAGGGTCATAGGGCATGACAGGGTTGTAGAAGTCTTTGCAGCATAACACCCAAGGCTACAGGAATAAAAAAAAATTAGTGATAGTTGTGGGCTATCTTCTACCAAAGCATGGATTCTTGATATAATTGATTCAAATCCAAGAAGGAGATCAGCCATGTTTGGTCTGGTCCTTTATCATGGATAACTGATTTTGCTTATTGATTTTAAATCTGATCACTTCACTAAACCCTTCTATTACTTCTAATAATTTGTGTGTGGACTTCTTTTGAGGTTTCTATATAAACACTCATATGGTCTGTAAGCAATAACAGCTTTCTTTTTTTATTTCCAGTCCTATCCTATGCCTCTAATTTCTTCCTTTCTTTCCTCCTTCCTTCCTTTCTTCTCCCTTCCTTCCTTTTTTCCCTTTCTTTTCCCTGCTTCCTCCTTTTTCTTTCCCTCCCTCCCTCTTTCTTTTCTTTGCTCTTTTCTCTTCTTTCTTTTCCTTCCTCCATTCCCTTCCCTTCATCTTTCTCTTTTTCTTCTCTTCTTTGTCCTCCTTCTCCTATTGGAATTTGGATTAAAATCCCAAAAGGATTTTCCTGGGGCATGGGGTGAACTTGACAGTGAGTATACAATTCATATAAAAAATGCAATTAGTAAGAAAAGCAAAGAAACAATTTTATTGAGAGGGAAAGTGATTTAAAAGCTAATTTGAGGTGGCTCAGTTGGTTGAGTATCTGACTTTTGATTTCAGCTCAGGTCACGATTTCAATGTCCTAGATTGAGTCTTGTGTTGGGCTCCGTGCTTTAGGCAGAATCTTCTTGGGATTCTCTTTCTCCCTCTCCCTCTGCCCTTTCTCCACTCTCTAAATAAAACAAACAAACAAACAAACAAACAAACAAACAAACAAAAAAGCTAATTTGACTGTGAAACCTAAAACCTGTGTAAAGCTGTGAAGCTTTTTAAATGTTTTATTTAATGTAAAATTTTGTTTTTTGCTGAAGAAATATTAATGGGTATGCTTGTGGGATCCTCTCCTTCTACCCATTGGGTAAGGGTGTCATTTTATATACAACATGTACCATAATATCTTTACAAAATCTCCAAATTTCTGAAGTCCAAAACATAGTGGGTTCCAAGGTTTCAAATAAGAGTTTATGGAACTGTACAACAACTGTCCAACCTTCGTAAGAAGTATATTATTGCCAACACAATTAAATCTCTCTTTTGTATCCTTCTCAGTTGCTCCCTTTACCCTTCCCTCCCAAAGTAACAGCTCTTCTGATATGTTCTTACTGTACTTAATGCTCAACTATTTGAAGTTGAAATTAAGTTTGACTTGCTTTTCATTCAGTATACCAACAGTAATTTCAGATGAATGAAACAGTTAAGTGTAAAATATAAAACCATAGGAACTAGTAGAAAGTACAGATGAATATTTGTGTGATTTTGGGAGTGAGGAATACATTTCTAAACAAAATTCTTAAAGCCAGAAAGAAAAAAGTTGATAGCTATGACATTAAAATGAAAGAATTTTTTCTACATATAAAGTAAAAATTAAATATAAATAAAAACTTTAAAAATACATTTGCCAAGTGATTAATACTTGTAACATAGAAATAAATCTTTATAAATTAGACTTTATAAATTAAAAAGCCTTTATAAACTAAAAGGAAAATGATGAACCTTCCAAAAAGAAACAGAAATATATATTAATATACAATGTACATAAGAAGAAATACAAGGGGGCAGCCCGGGTGGCTTGGCGGTTTAGCGCTGCCTTCAGCCCAGGGCTTGATCCTGGAGACCCGGGATTGAGTCCCACGTCAGGCTTCCTGCATGGAGCCTGCTTCTCCCTCTGCCTGTGTCTCTGCCTCTCTCTCTCTCTCTCTTTCTCTCTCTCTCTCATGAATAAGGAAATAAAATCTTAAAAAAAAGAAATACAAGGGAACTCTACAATTTAAAAAATTAAAGGAATGCAGACTTAATAAAATGCCACCTAATAAAATGACAGAGATGAAAAAATGACATTTAAGATTAGAGATATGATACCAGTCAACCAGGGTATGCTTGGTTGGAGTGTAGATTCTTACAACCTTTGAGGACAGCAATTTTATTTATGAATACTTAAAACTCCACATTTTTAAAAGACTTTCTCTCTTTTTTAAAGATTTTATTTATTTTATTTTATGCGCACAAGGGTCAGGGAGGGACAAACAGAGAAGGAGAGAGAGAATCTCAAGCAGACTTGGAATTGAGCATGGAGCTCTCAGCATGGGGCTTGATCTCACGACCTAGAGATCATGACCCGAGCCAAAACCAAGAGTCAGAGGTCTAACTGGCTAAGCTACCCTGGGTGCCCCAAGACTTATTCTAAGGCTTATAGATGCATGTGTAAGGATATTTGTATTTTTTTAATGTATAAAATTTTTATTTTATTTTATTCATTTTCCCTCTCCTCTGCCTTCTAATAGGTAAAACTTTAAAATGTCACTAAAGTCATTTAGTAGATGATTAGTAAAATAAGTCATGATACATTCATTTACGATAATAACAAACTACAATTTATTTTAGAGGGTTATCTTTCTTACATGAGAAAGTATTAGAAATGTTGCTTAATGTTAAAGCAATTAAAAAATGAACAATTTGATTTTATATTAAATAAAAAGTTATGCTGAATATTTGGGGGCTGAAATGGACAATTGAGGCTTCAAATGGACAAAAGTATCTGAAATGTCCGAAAGCAAAGGTATGGGGCTCCTGCCAGGAGCCATGTATGCTATTTGTCCTCACTTAGCATCCCAGCTTTCCATTCTCACCTCAAGCTGTTCTTTTCCGTGTTATTTGGATGTGTGTATTCTAGACTTCTCCCTCTGCTCTCTGGGTCCCTTGTCTGTGATGGGCAGCACAAGGCTCTGTCCCTGATTACTGAAGTAGTCATGTGGTGGACTACTTGGCAGGTAGCACTGAACATTGCCTCCATCATCACCAATTGCTGGAATCACTTGTTTGGTACTCATCTTATCTTCCTTCCTCCAAAATGATTCAAGTTTCAAGTTTCTTCACATTCAGGATCCCCCTCAGATAAAGCATGACCTGGAGGCTCCCAGGTCAGGGTGTTTGACTAGTTCAGGCTCCACTTGTTTACCCTAAACCTAAGGGTATTAAAGTCTAGCAGCATACCCTAGAGCAGGGAGGTCATTCAACTTGGGTTAGGAACTTATAAAAATTAGGGATTCTTGAACTCTGAGAAAAGAGTTTAGAAAATGCAAAATATTAAGTATTAACTACTGCCAGTATTATTTAACATAACAATGAAAAGAAACTACACTTTCTAGAATGCCTACTATTTATTTTAATTCTTAGTGTATATATTTATTCCTCTTCATATTTATGTTTTCTGTATCAAGAGGAGTAGCATCCTAAATAGGCAATATACTTTCTTCTCAATTTTATGTTAAAATAGTAATGAAATGGTAATTATCTTTCTTACTAGAAGCATTGGTTAGGCTCCTGTGGTTGTGTTTTAGAACTGTCATTTGCGCAAGATCAGTTTAGTGGGACATAATCAGTATTTTTAATAAAAAAATTGAAATGAGATAGAACAGAATAGAAAACAAAGTACATTGCATGTAGTGAGGGTAAACCCTATTTCTTGAGAATTTTGTTTCAGGGGTGTGTGTGTGTGTGTGTGTGTGTGTGTGTGTGTCTATGTGTCTATGTGTGCGCCCTATACTTATGTACTGGGTTGCAATGTAAAATAATTTCCTTGCAATGAGTTTGAGATAAAAGAAAGTTTTGGAAATGGTGTCTCTATAAGGTAAAGAGAGATTTTGAATTTAGTAGTATTTATGGAATATTGAATTTTATGAGCTGAGTATTAAACAGCTAATTATTCTTGATTAACTACTGTGAAGCAGAGGATAGCTGTACACAATTCAAGGCATCCCACCCCATTTTTATTCACATTACTTGACAGCTTTTTCTTATATTAAGCTGATATTAATCCTATATTCTAGTAACATCCATTTATTAGTTTAAGTAATAAGCATTATTTTTAGGACACCAGCTTTCTTGTAATAGCTCTTCAGATATTTGATGGACAGCTGTCATTCAGGTATGATGTATAGAGTATAGTGTCCAGGTATAGTATATAGTATCCCCAAATGAATATTTCCCCCTTCTTTGAGCTAAAAAAAATCCTTTATTTTTCATATGTGTAGCTTTAGTCCTTCTCCAAACATATTCCTATCTAATTGTGTTTCAGTTTGTCAATGGCCTTCCTAAAACATGGCATCTAAATGTAACTCTCATGATGTGGTCTAATAGCCTTATGCCATTTCACTTACTCTAGACCAAGAATCAGGAGACTATGTCTTGCAGGCCAAATCCAGCTTGTCTCCTGTTTTTGTAAATAAAGTTTTATTAGAATGTAGCAATGACCATTCATCTACATTTTGTTTATGGCTGCATTTTTGCTACAGTGGCACAGCAGAATAGTTACAGCAGAGGTTATCTACCCAGCCCTTTGCAAAAAATTTCCTGACCTCTGCTTTAGACAGTATCTATTGATGTTGTCTTAGATCATCAGCATTTGGGACAGCTACATCACTTTCTTAATTTATATTGAGCTAACAGTTGAATAAAACCACGTGTTTGACATGTGGTGCTATTAAATAAATAATAAAGTGGGAATTTGAAGGTTTCTTCTCTTTCTGTTACTTTATAAAGACTTTCTGGAGAAGGTTGGGTTTTATTTTGTCTGTGAAAGGAGGTGCATGTGGTAATCTGCTTTGAAAATGGTAGTTCAGGTGTAGAGTCTATAGTTTAGGGTAAAGTTTTCAATCATGTGTTCCTGACAAACTAGTTTCTTAAGATGATCCTCAATAAAAAGGTATTATGTTAAAGAAGTTTGGAAAACATTCTGTATGATATCCCCTTATTGGGCATTCATGGTGCATGTAGAATATTAAAGACTTCAAGAAGTCCTAAGTAAACTAACCTGTTTAGTGGACTTTCCCATACATATTTGGGGTTTGTGTTAATGTGTGTGTGTGTGTATTTGTACAGGTGTGCACCTCTGTGTGCATGTGCACAGTATCTATTAACTAACATTGTGTTCTAAAGGACATAATAGGAAACACTGGGCTAAGGGAATACCTTGAAAGTATATGGAGTGGCAGTTGTTGGTGGAAGGATAGAAAGCTTCTATCAAAATAAGCTTTAGAAGTTAATATTGCTCATGTTTTGATAATATTTGAGGTGCGGAGGAAATTACTGTTCTGTTTACTCAATTTTTAAATATCAGTCGAGTCTCCAAAAGTGGTTATCAAAAAACTTGGTGCCAGTTCCTTCAAATTATGAACTCTAGATAAATTTTAAGGCTTGTTTACATGGTTTTGACTATCTGATGGAAAGATTAACTTAGAAAAATGGGAATGTGGAAATGTTAGGAACTGTTAAGAATTAATGATCCAAAAAGAGTTAAGATAAAATGTTTTCTAAAATTAGGATAATAAATAGGGAAGATTTGACCTGAGTTAAAAAGTTCAATTTATACCCAAGTTTTCCAGGAATACATTGGTGAGGTGAGGAATATCTATGATAAAATTTGTTCTTTGTACACATAACAGAGATGGTATTCTTTGGATTATTTTTCCTATTTTTTCTCTTGTCTTTCCAAAGTTAAAGTGTGATCTCCAATTGTTATAATGTTTTAGTTTGGAATATTCTCAACTCAATATATCATTCAGTAAATTTTTCCTTTCATTGTTCAAAAGATCATGTGGTAGACAACATTAGTAAAAAGGTTGATATAATTTAGACCCAGGAGAATGCCATTAAACCAAAATGTGTTGGCATACTGAAACTACCTGAGTAACTGAATTTAGTCTTTTAATTTAAAATGTGATCTTACCCAACAATTGTCTAAATGTTTGTTTTTTATGAGTTTAAATTGTCTTCTCTCCACAGAATCAAGTGACGGATACTAATAGAAAACTACAACATGAGGGAAAGGAAGTAAGGACAGTTTACCTTTTGAAAAACCATCTGTTTCCTCTCATTCTTTTGATGACTGCATTCTTGATATAGTGGCTCATAGGACCATCAGGAGTGTGTTGGAGGAATTTGTGGACATTAATTGTTGCTTTCCCCAGTGTTTCTCTGAATTAAATGACTATTAAATGAAGCCACCAGAAAGCTTGATGAAAGAGGTTGTAGCTTTTCTTCACTGTGTTTTTAAATTACTTGAGTAGTCATAATACAGCCAGTGCTCTTCCCTCTGTCTGGAATGCTCTTTCCCTAGTGTTCTCCTACTTTAGACTTTGCGCAGATGTTCCCTCCTTAATGAGGCCTTTTATCTGAAATTGCAGACTAACTCTCACTGCTGTGTTCTTTTTACTTTTCTTGCTTTATTTTTCTCCACTGCACCTACAATGTTCTGCTATTATATATTTTAGTTGAATGTTTGTTTTTTTTGGTCTGTCTCCTTCCATGAGAAATTAAGTTCCATTAAGTTGGGAACTTTTGTTTGTTTTATTCGTTGCCATATTCGCTTTACCTGCCTACACAGTGACTAGCACAAAGTGGGTGCTCCATAAATATTTGTTTTTTTTCCCATAAATATTTGTTAAACAAGTGGATCAGTGATTCTGTTAATTGATAGAATCACCATTTAAGCCACCACAGTTTACAAGATTATTTTGTATGTTTTTTCTCACTTGATTGTCATGACAGGCCTAAAGTCAGGACAGGTATTATCACTATTTTATTGGTGTAAGACATGATTTGCTAAAATTTACATAGTAATTGACAAGGCTGGGGCTAAAACTCAAGTTTTATGACTTGCAGTCTATTACTATTCTCTGTATCATGTTCCTTTCTTACTGACTAGTAATTATTTTAATTTTTATTTTAATACTTTTTAAGATTAGCTTTTGATTGTTTTATCAATGACTTAATCAGGGCTATTCTCTTTTCTTTTTTTCATGGCATCTAAGAAGATAATGTTTTTAGGGATAGGTTTGGGATGAATACTACAACAGGCTATGTAGACTATTGCTTTTTGAAAGTTTGTCTCACATATTCAAAATTATGCAGAGAGTACAGTGTTTTCCAGTTATAGTGTGGTATGACTTCAGATGGAAACCTTTTAAGACAGCTATGAGAAGGAAAGTGAGTTACTCCACTAAACTGGAACTCTTGGAAAAGCTATAACTTCTAAACGTGTGGTTTATTTGTTAAAATAGAGATTTAGTTGAAGATTATTCTTAAGAGTCAAATGAAGCTATGTAGGGAGGACTATTTCCCTCGAGGCGTTTAGCATTGTTGAAAGAAACATAGGCTCTTCTCAGAAGATTTGATGAAACCATACATTCTGAAGAGTCTGAGTAGTTTGGGGAAAATCTGCAAATTTTTTCTTTTTTTCTGAATAACCCCTGGATTTTGGGATTTCATTTTAGCTAGCCTTTTTCAGTATAGTACGTATTTTGAGGAGAAAATGGGAAACGACAGGAATGTTTTACTAGTTGAGAAAGGCAGTTTCTTAGTTCACTTGGCAGGTCTTTCTCTGAAACTGTCTGGGATTTTCTGATGAATTGAACACAGGGTGGAAAAATGTGACTGGAAGCTTTTTATTTACAGCTACTGGCATAATTCAGTTTTTTTTTTTTCCTCTTGCCAAGCTGGTAATAGCAATGGAAGAGCTGAAGCAGTGTCGACTACAACAGAGAAATATTTCAGCCACTGTTGATAAATTAATGCTGTGTCTTCCAGGTGAGGAACTGGAAGTGGATTAGGTTCTTGATGCAATTCCTTTAGCTTTAATAAGTTTCTCATTTTCTCTAAATAATGCTTGTGTGCTCTTTTTTTCCCCTTTTCTTTCAAGTCCTGGAGATGTATAGCAAACTGAGAGACCAGATGAAAACAAAAAGGTAGGATTTTTTTTATTGAATATTATCATTGTCTTAAATTTCTGTTAATTAGGGTAGTTTTAAGGTCTGTATATAGCATAACCTTTCAAGAAATAATTAAGTCCGTATAATGTCTTCTCTAGCCTTTTGTGTATCTGTTGATTTATCCTGAGATTTATTTACATACTAGTGGTATGCTGATATATTTTGTCATGTATTATGTTAAATAAATTTAAAAAAACCACTATTCATAGTTTGATTTTTAGAAGACCCGGTCTTTCAGGGGTAAAACAACTTTTAGTGATAGTTGATTTGAGAAACATGCTTTGGTTTAGTATTATAGTAGAAAAAATAGTTACCGGTTCTGGTGCAGGAATGAATTAGTCAGGGCTCATTGAAACAGAATCAGTGGAGAGAGTGTGTGTGGGTAGAGAGAGAGATTGATTGAGTTTAGGGAGTTGGTTCATGGGATTATGGAGGCTGGCAAGTCCAAAATCTGCATAATAAGGTGGTAGGCTAGGGTGTCAGGGAAGAGCAAATATTGTGGCCTGAGTTTGAATGTGGTCTACTGGCAGAATTCTTCTTTCTCCAGGAGTCTTTTTTCTGTTAAGGTCTTCAACTGATTAAATGAAGCCCACCTAAATTATGAAGAGTAATCTTTACTCAGAGTCTGCTGACTTGTGTCAGTAATTTCATCTAAAAAATACCTTCATAAGAAATATCTAGAATAATATTTGTTAAATATTTGGGTACCATGACCTAGCCAAGTTGACCCATAAAATTAATCATCACAGGGGGCAAGGTCCACATGAAGTTCAGAGGATTACTCTTCTGTGTGTTGTTTTCCTCTGGTTTTATTCCAGAAAAAGGTCTGTAGTGACTCTTTTGCTCCTTTTTTTTTTTTTTTAAAGATTCTATTTATTTATTCATGACAGATAGAGAGAGAGAGAGGCAGAGACACAGGCAGAGAGAGAAGGACAGAAGCAGGCTCCATGCAGGGAGCCTGATGTGGGACTCGATCCCGGGTCTCCAGGATCACACCCCATGCCGAAGGCAGCACGCCAAACCTCTGGGCCACTGGGGCTGCCCCACTCTTCTTTCCAAGCTACAGTAAGCACCCCACCTCCTCTGCCTTGGAGTATGCTGCAGTGTGAGGGGGTGTGTGAAGCTGTAGGATAAATAGGACACATCTTTCTGGAATGTTGATTTTACCTAGGGTTTTAGGGAAAAGTATGGAATTAAAATGTGATGTTGAAATAACAATAGAAATATTATAAATAAAAACATTAAATTCTCAAGAATTTTAAAGCCTAAAGCATGAGGCATCTACATTTTTGAATTTCTTAGACTCTCTTCTTTTCCCCGGGAGGATATGTTCATATACAAGAGCATAGGTAGGACAACTGAGAAGTTCTGCTCAGTGAGATATAAAATAGTATTATTTCCGGGCAGCCCCGGTGGCTCAGCGATTTAGCGCCGCCTTCAGCCCTGGGCGTGATCCTGGAGACCCGGGATCGAGTCCCACATCGGGCTCCCTGTGTGGAGTCTGCTTCTCCCTCTGCCTCTCTCTCTCTCTGTCTGTCTCTAATAAATAAATAAAATCTTAAAAAAAAGTATTATTTCCCTGATAACCTTTTAGTTTAAATTCTAAAATCATAGATCACAGAGAATAAAAAAACATTGTATACCAACTTCTCTGAATTAAAAGATATTAATTGTTTTCCAGTTTTGATTGATGTATATGTAAATATATGGAAATAGATACACACACACATATAGACAGAGAGATGTAAATATAGACATTACAAAAAAAAATTAGATGAAACTTCTGTCCTCTTCCTCAGCCCTATTTCTTTCCCTAGTCCTGTGAGGAAACCGGTATCATATTTGTGGTCTTTCTAGTCCATGTTTTTAAAGTCTACAAATCATATATTGTATTTTTAAAAACATTTATGTTGGGGGCACCTGGGTGGCTCAGTTGGTTAGGTAAGCGTCTGCCATTGGCTCAGGTCATGATCTCAGGGTCCTGGGATCGAGTCCTGTATCGGGTTCTCTGCTCAGCAGGGAGTCTGCTTCTCCCTTTCCCTCTGTGATCTCTCTCACTCATGCTGTCTCTCAAATAAATAAACAAATAGTATCTTAAAAAGAAAGAAAAAAAAAAACACATTTGTATGAATGGTTCTTGTCCTGTTTTTTTGAAATTCATTCATTCATTCGACAAAAATGAATGGAGTATTTACTATATGCTAGGCATTGTTCTTGGGGTTACAGCCCTGAAGAGAACAGACAAAAATATTTACTCTGTGGGGCTTACATACTAGTGGAGAGTTTATTTACCTTATGTATATAGATCTAGTTCACTTAATTTAATCCTTTGTAATAGTCCATTATATGAATAATTCACATTTTTCCTCTCATTTTCAGTTGTCATAAGTGCTGTGCACCAATATTTCAATCTCAACCTTTTCCTGGTACATAGTAGGGTTATATTTCCTGGGCTCCTTTGGGCTGCGTGACTGATAAGATGTGAGTTGATAAGATGGCTGATAAGCTGTGAGCAGAAGTGATGAATATTACTTTTGGGCTTCACAGTTAATTTCTATTACAAGTCTTTAGAATTCTGTTTTCCCTTTGGTTATGACAAATGGTAACTTTTAAGATGTTGATTGAATCCCTGAGTAATTGTAATGAACAGAACTACCCTGCCAACCTGTTATGGATGTATAATATAAGTAAGTTATAAATCTTTGTTTTAAGACACTGAAATTTTTGGGATTGTTGTTGCTACAAGATAACTGTCCTCAACCAATGCTGTGAAAGATGTTTGATGTGTTTCCAGTTGTTTGCTATGCAGACATTGGTTCAATAAATATTCTTGTTCATGTCTTTGTTCACACATTCAAGGTTGCTTGAGAACAGTGCTCTTCATATGTTGCTATATATTCAAATCATATGGGGATTTATTAAATGTAGAATCTGATTCAGGAGGTCTGGGGGTCATTCCCGAGATTCTGCATTTTTCTATCTAGCTTCTGCCAATTCTACTGGCCTAGGGTTTATACCTAGAAAGAAATCAAAGAAAGGATATTCATGTATTCATTCTTACTAGACATTATTCTCCAAAGTGATTTAGACTCCCACTGGCATTTTATGGGAGGTCTGTTACTCCACCTCTAGGCAACATCTGTATTGTGAAACTTTTTGGTTTTTGCCAGTCTGATGGTTATCAAATGATAGGTTATTGTGCTGTGATTTCATTTCTTTGATTACTAGTGAAATTGGTTTTTGGACATTTGCATTTTCTTTCATGTATTTTGCCCGTTTTTCTTAGGTTGTTTGTTGTTGTTCATTTATAAGAATTCATTAGATACTTTGGACACCTTTTCCTCTTATTAGGAATATCCTGCAAATATTTGCTTTCAAATGCATGGCTTATCTGCTAACTTTGTAAGGTTAGTACTTTTTGTTGCATAGTAGTCGTAAATTTTGTTGTCCTTTATTTTGTGGTCTTTAAAAATTTTTATTTTTAAACATTCTTAAGTACATATAAATTAGCTATGTTTTTTATGAACCAGTAGAAAGTAAGTTGCTAATGTGATGCCCTGTCATCCCCAAATACTTTGGTGTAATTTCCTACAAATAAAGACATTCGTCTGTGCAGCCACAATGCAATAGAGAATAAAAATTAACACGGATATATTAGTAGCATCTAATCCTCATACCCAGTTCAGATTTTGCTAAATGTCTCAGTTATGTTCTTTATAGCAAAAGAATCAAGTTTAAAACATGTATTGCATTTAGTGGTCATGTCTCTTTATTCTTCAGCTTTGAGCTGTCTGCAGTCTTTCCTTGACTTTTACGAGCTTATCACTTTTGAAAATTACAGGCCAACTTGATGTAGAATGTGTCTTAATTTGAGTTTGTCTGATATTGCCTCATGATTACATTCATGTTATATGTCTGTGGCTGGAATATTACAAAAGTGGTGCTGTGTTCTCATTGTATCTTACCAGGTCACATATAAATTTGATTTGTCCTATGAGGGATAGTGTTCACTTTGATTCTTTTCCACTGTGAAGTTGCTCTTTTTTACATTTGTAATTAAAAATTTATGGGGAGGTATTTTATAGTTATATAAAGTAATCACTTTTCATCAGATTTTTCACTTTAATTTTTTTATGTCAGTATGGACTCATGGTTTCTTATTTTATTTGATGAGTCACAATTTGTTAATATTACTTATTTTGTTGTTCAGATTATCCTGAATGGCACCAGAGTAGCCCCTTCTGTCTGGCTTCTGTTTTTTTAAATATGTTTTCATAATTTTTTGAGTACTTTGTTACTAGGAAAGGAGAGAATTTTCAGGTTTATCTTGTACTTTGCCTGCTGCAGCCCTGGAATCAGTCATTTCCCTAAGTAGAGAATGTTATTTAGAAGCCAAGATCTGTGTGCTCAGTCTACTAATTACTGCTGAGTAACTTGACTTTCATTATTCATAATGTATTTACTTATTGGATTAGTTCCTTTCATGAAACTAATTGCCTATTATTGCTGTCACTGCAAGTCTTTATCTTGCTAACACCACACACTGAGTTACCCTCCTGTATGATATCTTCCTTATTCTGCTTGGACTCTAATACTCTGTGGCAAGCTTCTGTTCTACAGGAATACCCTCCTCATCCCTATTTGGCTCTGACATTCCATACCAGGCTACCTTTCTATATGGGCATCCTCCTTATTTCAGTAGGTCCCTTGTGCACCATGCTGGTCTATATCTTCCCTCCCCCCCAACTGATACGGATATTGTCATTTATTTAGGTCTTCTTTAATTTTTTTCAGCAGTATTTATAGTTTTTAGTAAGTCTTACATATCTTTTATCATATTTATCTCTAAATATTTAATGTTTTTTGATGCTTGTTTTAAATGGTTTTTGATTTTTAAATTTTAATTTCCAGTCATTTATTACTAGTATACTATTTTATTTTTTGTATGTTTATCTTGTTTTCTGAAACCTTCTAAA